CTATTATGACAGTAGATTCAAAGAAGTAAAAGGAAATATGAAAAGAATATGGAATGCCATCTCTAACATCCTAGGAGCTAAACAACATTCGCATAACCAGATAAAACTCTCCAAGGATAGTTGTACACCTGCAACAGATCTAAAAACTTCAACTGAATTTAATAGCTTCTTTTCATCGGTTGGTGCTAACCTTGCCAGTAAAATCCCACAGACTCAGACACATATCAACACATATCTCTCAGGCAGCTATCCAAACTCTCTTCTCCTCTCACCAGTCAGCCCTACAGATGTTGTGTCCATCATTCACTCACTAAAAACCAAAGCTGGGAACATTAGTGACATACCATGTATGGTATACAAGAGTATCTCCCATGACCTTGCACCACTCATAGCTTTGCTATTCAACAAATCTCGAGTGTCATACTTCCCTGATATCCTTAAAAAATCAAGAGTAACACCAGTTCATAAAGGAGGCAATCCGGCAGATATAAACAATTACAGACCAATATCAAACCTACCTATATTATCAAAAATATTTGAAAAACATTTTTATAGACAGCTCTACTCCTATCTCGTAAAATTCAATGTACTAGGTCCCTGTCAGTTTGGCTTCCGCTCCCAAAAGAGTACCAACGATGCAATTATTATTCAGTTTGATATAATCTACACAGCCCTTGACAAAAATTAGTTCCCAATTGAGCTCTTCACTGACCTGAGAAATGCCTTTGACACTGTTAATCACAACTACCTCTTACTTAAACTCCACCATTATGGAATCCGAGGCATTGCTCTGAACTTTATCCGATCTTATCTTAGTGACAGACACCAATATGTAGCCATCAATGATATAACCTCTCCCACTCTACCATTAACCGTAGGAGTGCCACAGGGCAGCATTCTAGGACTTCTCCTATTTCTTATATACATCAATGATCTGTCTAATGTCTCTAATGAGCTTAAACCTATATTGTTTGCTGACGATACTACCTTCATCTACTCAGTATATATATATATATATATATATATATATATATATATATGTCGTACCTAGTAGCCAGAACTCACTTCTCAGCCTACTATGCAAGGCCCGATTTGCCTAATAAGCCAAGTTTTCATGAATTAATGTCTTTTCGTCTACCTAACCTACCTAACCTAACCTAACCTAGCTTTTTTTGGCTACCTAACCTAACCTTACCTATATATATAGGTTAGGTTAGGTTAGGTAGGGTTGGTTAGGTTCGGTCATATATCTACGTTAATTTTAACTCCAATAAAAAAAAATTGACCTCATACATAGTGAAAAGGGTAGCTTTATCATTTCATAAGAAAAAAATTATAGTAAATATATTAATTCAGGAAAACTTGGCTTATTAGGCAAATCGGGCCTTGAATAGTAGGCTGAGAAGTGAGTTCTGGCTACTAGGTACGACATATATATATATATATATATATATATATATATATATATATATATATATATATATATATATATATATATGTCGTACCTAGTAGCCAGAACGCACTTCTCAGCCTACTATGCAAGGCCCGATTTGCCTAATAGGCCAATTTTTCATGAATTAATATATTTTCTCTATTTTTTTTCTTATGAAATGATAAAGCTACCCATTTCATTATGTATGAGGTCAATTTTTTTTTATTAGAATTAAAATTAACGTAGATATATGACCGAACCTAACCAACCCTACCTAACCTAACCTAACCTATCTTTATAGGTTAGGTTCGGTTAGGTAGCCGAAAAAGTTAGGTTAGGTTAGGTTAGGTAGGTTAGGTTGTCGAAAAACAATTAATTCGTGAAAACTTGGCTTATTAGGCAAATCGGGCCTTGCATAGTAGGCTGAGAAGTGCGTTCTGGCTACTAGGTACGACATATATATATATATATATATATATATATATATATATATATATATATATATATATATATATATATATATATATATATATATATATATATATATATATATATATATTCGTATATTTTGGTAGCAGTCTTTCTTGTAAACATATGTTGTTAAATATGACCGAAAAAGTAAGATTAATAATTCTAACACGAATTTTCTCAATATTTCTTGTTTCTTTTTACTGTCGATGGTAATTGAAAAATCAATTCTCCAAAATTCATTTTTATTTCTAGTCTGACGCGACGCTTGAATGCGTTTTGTAATAACTTTTTACATTTTCAAAGACTTCAGTTTACACACACACAACTGTAACCTGAAAACACTAAACAGAGTTTTACTTATGCTAACACTAAACAGCTTGTCTTATATACTCGCACTTGGGTGAGGTGATACGTTGCAACAGTTTTGGATGAGGTGAACAGACTTTTGACCAACACAAGCCAGAACACGGAACAATGGGTATTAATTGGATAAATGAGACGGAAGAATGGAAGTTACTGCAAATGGCCTATTGGCCCATACTTCCTCTTGATGCTTCTATATTGGTACAGAGTCTTGAAGTGGGTAGAATATTGTTG